AAAAGTAGCCATTTTGAAAACCCTCCCTCAGCAAAATGGCTCAAATAGTGCCACTTTCAAACTCGATTGCATCCAAATTGCTCAGAATTGGAAGCCCTGAGTCCGGCCCAGAGGTCCAGTCTCATATTTCTTCAATTCCTCAGTTCCATGGCTCTCAGGACCCTCTAATATAGAATATTTTGAGTCTATAACTTTTATTAATGAGCTCGGCGGACATACTTCTGGCCTAATTACGAGGGTGCACCCTTCAGTTTCGCTGGTTCCAGTCAGAGCTCGTCCATACAGCTTCAAAACGGGTGGCACCAGCGAAGCCGAATCTGGACCGAATCCACTCGTTTCGAACATTTGTTGGGAAAGGTAATCCTATTACAAAGCGACTTGTGACTAATTCAGTTCCTGAGAATACAAATACTTCAGCCTGTGCAAATATATGAGACTGGAGCGAAAAATTCTGTTTTCTCATTAAATGCTTCAGTATTTTCTCAGCTAAACATGATAGGTTGATGAATTAGTGAGGTCCATGTGTGGAATTTTTCCTTTTCTTAAAACTGGTTTGCCAGTGACCAACTTACTTGAAATTAGATAAATGAAACCGCTTGAAAGGGGCAGCCTCTTAATTAAAGAAATAACTGCTTTGCATATGTGTGGTTATGTGCAACTTTAATGAGGAAGTGTTGTTTTCGGGTTTGTACAGGAAAGTTGTTTATGCTGTACACAATAAATTTGACCATTTACTCGGAGGTTCTATTTCACTTTTTGTTGTTTTTAATTAAAGGATTCACAATTTGTCAGTTGTGCCTGTTAATCACTTGAAGTTTTATTCTGTGAATACTTCCTATGCTGAGAACAGAATATAATTAAGTTTGAACAATAACTTTGTTGGTTACGTTTTAGATAATTGTAAAATGTATACTGCCCTTGAAGTCGACTAGCCTTTATTAATTTTGGTAAACGAAAATTTTAAGTTATGTTTTTTCTTCATTTTTTATCTAAAAGCAAGTCCAAAGTCTTTCCATCTCTGTTCAATTGAGCTGTAAATTATCCTAGAAATAATTATAGAGTCCTCACCAGTTTCTGAATTGTTTATATGCGCTGTAGTTTGGTTTGATTCATGGTTTGATCAAGCTCACTTCTTGTGTTGAACATGAAATCCAATATTACACTTACAACCGCATGATCAGAAGAAAGAGTTTCAACAGTTGTGCGTATTGGAAAGTCCAAACTTGAAGAGGACACCATACATGTATTCTCACCCAATCCTTGACAATGGCTTAAAGGAATGGTAAGATGCAGAACTAAATACAACTGGAAGCGCTTCACTGAATGCAAATGGTTTTGGGGCAGGGTGAAGTCTGTTTTTTACGTGTCCATTGCTTCAGCATATTCACAATTCCCTTCTATATTTCTCTAAACACAAATTATGGCTGTCTTGGAGATTTTCTCCGGTGAAATTTGGGGAAAATAAACGACAAATTAGTCATTCAGTTTTCGAAACCACTTTTGCCAATAAGCAACATTTCGGACAGTAATTTCAGACGGTAATTCACTGCTGCGTAAACCTCAACCATTTTTCTTTTCAAATTAATCCATTCCAAGTGCAGAATTCAGTGTTTCTTCGAAATCTGACGACTGAAGCACAAAAACCCCAAACAGTTTTTGAAAAACTCCATTTGAAAGTACACGCAACGAAATTCGCAACGTTCGTTATTTACCCTCCTGAAAATACGCATACGCGGGACGCGTTTTGGACGCAATGCCCTATCCATTATAGGACATATGTAGATCAATGATAGGAACTCACCTCACCCTTAAGAGTGAACGAAACGGGACTTACTGCGCATACGTTCGCGTGCTACTTCAGGTCGCTCGGCAGTATTCAGTTAATGCCCGGAAATGGCAAGCGGCAATAAAACACAAGCTGGATTTTCCTTTTCAATGCTTTATTTATTATCATTACAACACAATAACACTAGAGATTAGCTGAATTCAACCTCTACAGTCTAGAAAGAAGATAACAGAGAGGAAATTATCAGAGCTAGAGGTGTTTATAATCCCAAATAGCCCGGAGAGATACTGAAGAGGGCAAACCGTTGACAAGAAACCCTAATCAGATCAGAGGTCACAGCTAAAAATTGTTCAAATCAGCTTTTCAGAGTGATCAACAGAGAGCATCCCAGGTAAAGTGACAGAGGCAAAATCAATCAACCAGTTAAAAAATAAGCTCGATTCCAATTGGAGTTAAGAAGGGTATGAGTCAACAAAGGCTCAAACCTATTCTACTCCCATCATACCTTAAGTACAAGATTAGGATACAGGTTTGAACGGTTGATAACAACTTGCGGATTACAATTTTTTTACATCAAGATCAACATTTCAAGATGTGTCATTCTGCCTTGAAATACGAAACCATAAACAATCATCTGTTCCGCCACAATTTTTGTCTGTCACACAAACATTTGCCCAGTGAGGTCAAAGTCAACAGTAAATGGACATCATACTTTGAATTTCTGGAAGTAGTTTAATCACACTCTAAAGACACTTAAAGCTGAGCCATTTTTACTCCCCATGTCAAAAGCTTATACAGAGTTCTATAACCTAATCTAAGTGTTCAACAGACATCTAATGGATGTACATGAAAAGAAAATGTCCAATAATGTCTGCACCTGGCAACTTTCCAAACAGGAAAGATCCAAATGATTACACTGAGTTTAATTTGCATAATGACATTGGAGAAAAAGACATCATCCACAAGCTAGCTATGGGGTATCGTCCAGTCGGGTCTCATCGGCATGTAAGCTTACAGGAACAGCATATTTGGGAACTCGTCATACCTCATTGGTTCCTCAGTGATCATCTGTGAATTACAGGGGGGAAAACACCTTACTTTCAACATTTATTCATTAAAACCATAATCCCAAGTTCCACACGCAATAATTTTACTTGACAGTTTAAAATGCACATTAGCGTGTTGTTAATGATAAAAAAAAAATTATTATTGGACATTATTTATTTGCATCAGTCCAATAACACCACCAAGAGGGTGCTCAGTGCTGAGAGGCAGCATGCAATGGGTTTGAGATTTTCTGAGCAAAATTGAGACTCAGATAGAAATTGAGATGTCACACTGGATTATCAACGCACCACTGGGGTGCTGAATTTCAATATAACATTATTACATAATGGATTCCAGAAATATTGCCAAATTGACTATTATGTTAGGCCTTCTAGTGTCTTCATACCCAATAATCTGCATGTAATTGAACCTAAAATAGATGACTGTTACATTTTGCAAAGAGTAAACAAAGGCCTGGCTACGGCCCTCCGGAAACTATGGTTTCCGAACCATAGATCTGAGTTCCTTTGCTTTGCATAATGAGCAGTCGTGTGACCCGGTCAGCCCTTCACTGTCGAACGGCTTTCGTGAGACCAAATTACACTGTGGAGTTTGCCCATTCTTCTGTTCATAGCCATTTTAAATCGAGCAAATTCTTTCAAACAAGTTCATACCCTTTGACCTAACAAAAACGGAGTACATGTACGTGGAAGTTTAATTGTTCTTGACCATTAGAAGTACTACGTGAGGGAAAAGAATTCTTAATGAAGATCGAATCCTCAAAATACTGGATAGAAAAAAAAAGCACAAATTAGTCCTGGCATTGGAAAAAGCATTAATGTGCTCTGGTTATCACACTCGTCCTCTCCTGACGTTCAAGTTCTCACCTTGCGACAAAACTCAGGCACAGTAAAATATCTGGATGGATCCTTAATCCCGCTGACATAGTTAAAGAATCCAGTGAGGGCCATGAAAGACACTGCATAGAGAAGAGAAAAGTGAAATTGCCAATTTTTTAAATTCGTATTAATCAGTGACAATTTTGTCTACTTGATTCGTTGCAAATCTTACAACGTGTCTTCATTAGGATCCCCAACTATGTACGTGTATTTCGGCCAAAAAGTAAATGGGACATATTCCTTTTTGTTATCTTGTTCCTCTAAATTGACCAATATTGTATCCTGCAACCTACCTTGGAATTTAGGTGAAATATTCAGTAATTTACCATAAATTATTTATGCAATCTTTGATTTTTTCCCTCCCCTTTTTTCTTTAAGTGTAAGGTGGCGACTTTAGCCAAAAAAGGGCTAAAGTGTCACTTAAATTAGTGATGGGTCCCCTCGTGGAATGGGCAGGACAAAACCTATTCGTTTTTAAACTTGGTCATAAAAGGCATGATGCAAGTTGCCTATCACATTGAATAAAAGGCCACTCAGTGTAGGGATACAAGAACTGGAGGCAGAGACAAGGGATTAACAGAAAAGGGAAAATGATTAAGACGACATTAATTTATTAAATGATTTTCAAAAGTACAATGACATACAGTTTACACAATTGTGAAAATTATTGGGAAAAAATGATGAATATAATGTGGAACTGTGGAATACCATCATGGGGGAGGATGGTATTTATCCCCCGGACCCTCGTGTATTTGTAACAAGTTCCCATTCCCCTATAAATTTCCCTTTTTGTCACAATTGCATCCTTTTTGCCGGGTGCTAATGACATGTGACCTTTAGAAATTTGCAGCTATGAAAAGCACTCCTACTGTCCAATACTGTCTCACTTTGAACAGCGTCACCATAACGAAGTTGTGAACCTCCCCTTTGATTTTATGGAGGTTGGGTAAACAGCAAAAACAAAACACCTCTCTGCCTTTCACCATGGATGCTGAGTGCCCTTTATTATATATATTGCCTATTCAATAATACCTTACTATTATCCTTACTATTGAGGCTTTGCGTGGTAGCCATCTTGGTGGTCAGTTCTTTTGTTCAACAGGAAATGCATGAGTAGGCCTTTGTACATCTTTGTGTGAAACAAAGGCACTGACTTTCAGAGATGGTTACCAAGCAAAACCTCTATACCAGTGTAGAAGGTGCACAGATTGAATAAAACAGAGCATGTCTCACCATTGTCTTCCTTTCCAGAAAGAAGGGAGCTGCTGGGAAGACAGTCACCCTGAGTTACAGTCAGGGATCCCTGGACTGCCCCACGCTCAGTCTTATAAGACACCAGAAAGGAGTCAACAGTCAATTTGTGGTCGCCCAGGTATATTGATTGGAGAAAAGTGGCCCCCTCTGAAACAAATCATAAAAAATTACATGTACTGCATTCATGAAACAGTCTCTGTTGATGCAATATCTCCTTTAATGGTATACCAGTACTGCGTAAAGAATTTTGGAATCCTCCGAATTACACGTTTATGTTCCTTTAACTCCATTTCCAACTTATTTAAGGCCCTTTGGTGCCTTTTGTATTTTTACGTTAACGCATATTTGCATATTTTGGAGCAAAATTACTGCTAAATGTTAAAATGTAAAATATTTTCCACACATGAAATTGATCTTATAGACCATTTCAACAACATAACCTTTCGAAGATAAGCAACGTTTTTATAAGAAATGTTCATTTGAATGGAGGAAGCACTAAATAAAATAATAGTTAACTGTGTGGACATCTAATGTGTGATTGCTTGAGAATAGTTCAGTGCCCAGTGTCAAACTTTTTTTCCTGTGCTCGTAACTCGGGTTTTCTGTTTGCTTTTCAGCTGATTAGATACACTTACCAGAAACACAGTGTGCCATGGGTCTTTCAAGCCTGCGTTTCTCACAGCGTCGCATCTTCGGTTCAATGCGGTATTCAACACCCTGGACAGTATTTTATAGGCCAAATATCGTGAATTATTTGAAATGATATGATAGATGTTGACAACCCCTTTAACTCACTGAAATTTGGTCATTGCTTTCAATTTGTTGCAATATGTTTAAGGGCACTGTGATTCTGTAATAACCATGGCCACCAAATTTTCAAAAATACGCACTGAAAAGACTTTTTTCACCTCTTTGTAGTCATAGATCACTTGGGAATCAACTAATCTTTGTTCATTGTCAATCCTGTTGCCGATCATGCCGACGCGTTTGTTGGTGTAATCGAAGGCGATTGAAGAATTTTCGTACATGACACCCCCTCTTCCTTCCCGCGTATAGCCGACTTGTATGCCTGGAAGGAAAAAACATCAAAGATGCAATCTTCGCAAAAATACGGAAACTTCCTTAATAATGTATAGCATTTTCAGTAAACTTCTTGTGAGAAGAAACTGTTTTCAAAAACTAAGCCAAAAAATTGCATGGTTAAGTACAATCTTGCTCTTTGTTCATATCTGGAGAAACAACCTGGGTGAAAGTAACAGGGCGAGGAACCTTTAAACGGGGGGATGGGCCATGGAATCAACACTTTAATGCTTTAAATTCCTTTTTCATTCTAGGAACTTTCTTTTATTTTCAATTTCTCTTCCAATATGGACATACAAGTACATCCAAGAGCACAGTTTTTTCCACTTTTGAACTATATTGAGTTTTATATTGATTTATTTAGACACATAAACATGATATTAATTGAGAATACTATTTATTTCATATTAATTTATAACATATTGTTACTTATTCACATGTACTTTTTACCCCAGTCTAGGATTGAATGAGCAGCCTCTGGGCCACAGTGTATTTCACTTTTGTTCATCCGGACGGTCTTAAACAGGTTTGTCCTTACGTCCCTGTTTCCCCTTCCTTTCCCTTTTTTTTCAAATTTTATTATAATTTATTCCTTATTTGCATGCCTGATTCATTGCAATGAATATTATGTTGTGTTGTTTTGTGTTGGCAGAATAAATAATGATAATAATAATATCAGGGTTTTTTGGGGGTTTTTTGTGTGTGTTTTGGCCGAGCAAAAAAAAAAACATGCTTACTATCACCTTCATGTACTCAAGAGACAGTAGTACAAAAGCAACCAAATAAAAAAAACACTTAGATTTAGCGCTGGTTTCAGAGAAGATTGGGGAATAAAAGGAAAAGGCTACCGTGCTGATATCAAGATGATTTTCATAATTTGGATGATTGCACAAAGGCCCCGAAGGTCCCTGTGGTAGAGGTGTATCTATCAAACATTAATAGTAATGGGCAGATAAAGGAAGCAGAGATGGAAATCGTCAGATTTCTTTAAAAACACCACTTGAAGAATGATGTCTGAGCCCTCCAACAACTATATATGGGGAATTTATCAGCTGATGAGCCGAATGTCATGTGCCAGCAATTTTACATATACATTCCGTCGTGGAGATTGCTGGCGGAAATATACACAATGGAATTTACCAAGCAGGCTATCGGTGGTAGGAAGTTCATACAAGAAGTTTAGCACAGAAAGATGAGGAAATGTTGCATAGTGTGGCTCGTTTTGAACCAAACTACACATGTACATGTAATTCAATTCGATCAGGGCCGACAATGAGAGGATGATATTTTTGCATGGGGTACGAGGTAAACTCCTTTTTCCATTTTTTTCAAACCTATCCAAGTGATCCTTTAGCCTATCAGTTACGGTTTATAAACGTACTTCAATGTTTTCGGGTGTATACCCGAAAGCGCCGTGTTGGCTTATTGCAATGTAGCATGTAAACAGTGACACGCATCGTGTGTTGCTCCCGTTATTTCCCAACGACATCGTACACGGACTTCCATTATGTCCGCAGGGCCCATTATGTCCGCAAACTTTTTCAGGCCCAATATGTCCGCCCCATTGTGTCCGCAGGCCCATTATGTCCGCCCCATTGTGTCCGCAGGCCCATTATGTCCGCCCCATTGTGTCCGCAGGCCCAATATGTCCGCCCCATTGTGTCCGCAGGC